TAGTTTATCTATTTGAAACCAAGTATGAGTGCATGTGCATCTCTTGGATGCTAGAGGGAATAACATCTTTAAACATTCAGGAAGAGCTTTGGAAGATTTGCGAGCTTCTATATTTAACAAATTCCGTCCATCTGAAAACGCAAAAACTCAACAGCAAAGAATTTGGGGTCCTGTTTCAGCTCTCACATTCAATTTTATGGTTTCTGTTGGTATTATTTTCATGAACAAATGGGTTTGTTCTTTGTACTATATTATGTATGTGCTACTACTGGCTTTACATTTGACAGCTCTCTAGTGGTAATTGCATAGCTTGTTCCTTTTTGTTTGTGTAGGTTTTTAAAAATGTTGGGTTCCAGTTCCCAGTATTTCTTACTTTTATTCACTATTTAGTAAGCTGAGCATTGTTGGCTATCTTGAAATCCTTTGAAGGAACCCAGCACCTGGGTTTGAGGAACTAGGCGAACCCAGGTGTTGGTGCTGGGTTTGAGGAACCCAGGCGCTGGTGCTGGGTTCCTTCGAACCCAATAGGGAGGGGAAGGAGAAAAGGAAAGAGAAGGAGAAAAAAAAAAAGAAAAGGAAAGAAAAAAGAAAGAAAGGAAATTTTTATTTATTAAATTATATTTTTGGTGTCAAGTCATAATATTTTAATAATTAAAAATACCACTTCACTTGTTTTATTTTCAGGTAATATTTAACATTAATAAAAATTGAATTTGTTAACGAGAAATTTTGCCATGTCAGCACTTAACTGACAGAAGGACAAAATTGGTTCCAAAAATTGAAGTTCAAGGATTTTTTTAGTATTTTTTGAAGTTCAAGGATAAATTTAGTTAAAAATGAAAGTTGAGGGACTGAATCGGGGATTTAACCATTTTTGTTTGGTGAAATAATACGGCAATTTTTTCCCAACAAAAGGGTGACTACGACCCCAACGTCAGGGGGGCTGCCCCCCCGCATCCGCATGCCTTCTGTTACTGTAGAAGTATACTCTTCTTCAAAACGACAAGTCGTCGCTGAAAACCCAAAATTAAGGTCAAACCGCGTACGTCGGTAATTCCGCCAGTCGGAATCAAACTTAACCGTCACCCCTTACGTTACTATGCAATCGTCACTTTATTTTTTTGATTTATTCAATTCAATTGCTTAATATATATGTTACATGCACCATGGAACGATTTTAATCCAAAAATATGGAAGATCAAATTGTTTAACAATCTCAGCTATAAGATGAAAAAGATTTAAAATCTTAATGGGTAGTTCGTGTGGTTATCATGTAAACTTTTCATCTATACTTTTGAGTTTCGAGTTCTTTATTCTCATTTTCCCTTCTTTTTACCCTTATTTCCTCTTCTCCTTTCCCCTAAATCCTCCTTATAAAAAAAGAAGAAGAAAGAGATGAAACAGATTTAATGTGAGTTTAAATCTAAGTCTCTCTTACCTTGTGATTTAGATTGTCAGTATATTTAGTTTTATTTATTTTATGACTTTTTACATTCTTAAATAGTTAAAATAATTATTTTTTATATTGTACAAGTAATTTTTTAATGATATTATTACATAAAATATAAAGGTAAATTGATTATATATATTTATATATATACAAACATAATTTATTCGTGTTGAGAAATTTCATTTTTAAAAGAATTCAATTGGCATTATATATATTAAAACATGGTGTGTTTGATATGAAAATGAATTAACATTTATTTCAATTGTAAGTGAAATTTCATACTTTAAAAAATTTGAGTATTTTTTTATTAGTTTAAATAAAATCCATTTCATTTTAGAAAATGAATTCACTAGAGAACCTGTCATAAAAAGAAAATAGAAGAGATGTAAATTATAAATGAATTCTATAAATTTTTAATCTTTTTCTCTTTGAAACAATGATGTGGAATTTAAATCATAGAGATTTAGAAATAAATTCTATACTTATTTAATTTCTAAAATTTTTTCAAACCAAATATTATGTTGAAAAAGAAAAAAGTACGACAATTAGTTAGGAACATAAGGAGCATACTTTAATATTTCTCTCGTGTGATTTGGAAGGGGAAAAGAAAAATGTTTTCCAACAAAATTCTAAATAGAAAAAATGCAATTTCAACTTTCAAACAAGATGTTCTACAAAACCCCTCAAGGCTCAAACCAAAGGTTGTCAATACGAAAATGGAAATCAAGATTGGAGAAAACCACGGGAATAGAAGGCTGGTGTGGACAATCTGGAATTATAGTCGTTTACTGTTTTGTTAAAATTACTCAGTTATATTTAATTTAACTCTTAAGAATAATTAGTAATTAATAAAATATTTGATATTTATTATTTAATAAATTAAAATTAATTTATAAATTAATATTTTTAGTTATTATAATAAATTATTTAAAAATATAAATAAATAAAATATGAATAAAAATATTGATTTAAGTAAAAAAAATTTAATTTCTTTTAAATAAAAGTTTCAGTTCGAATGTTATAAATAAAAAAATAAATATAATTAAGTAAAGTTTCGA